CATTCTCCATGTTAACAATCTGTCTGCGTTCGAAGATCTAGATGTGTATAAGAGACAGCACACACACACACACACACACACACACACACACACACACACACACACACACACAAAACCTACGCCCCTTCCATTGGGTCTGTCATAGCGGGGAGTTATGGACCGTGGCCGACCATCAGCGGAAAGATTGTCCTCTTTGCTGTCGACGTCTCCCACAAGTGATGTCATGGAGGATGTGTGATTGTCCACAGTGTGTCATCTTCCTATGTCTGCAGATGATGCATATGCAGCTAGCAATGCGGCGAACCGGGCCAGGGCTGTGGGAACAATCCTGTATTCAATACCGCCCCTGCCGATTTTCAAGAACTTCCCTGTCCCTGTTTTGGCTTCGTCATCTGCAGCCGGTTCGCCGATGGGCTTGTCTTCTGAAGGTGGGAGTTCTGTACGGCAGGGAAGTGTGACACCGACGTTCTCCCATGCCAGAGGGCATCCGCCGGCTGCGCAGTGGGGAGTACCGCGGGAAGTGCCGTGTACGTCTCCGTGGACAGGCCCTACTCGTGAAGGTCATGTATACACACACACACGTCCAGCAGGGGATGGTATGGGGGGTGTGCCCGGTGTGGTGATTGGAGATCATGAAGGAGCGTCCCTGTGCGGCAGTGCTCCACCCGTGGGCCAGCATTGTGAGGATGTTGCGGCGCAGATCGATGCCTTTCGTTCTAGCCAGGCTGGCAGCACGCGCCCGCAGGCGAGGCAGTCATCCACAGACATCCCAGTGCGTCGTATACATGCCCCTCTTATGCAGACGCGGGTGACGGGACGAACACGGGGGGTGCAGGCATGGGGTCGCCAGCGACGTCCAAGGACGGGAAAGTGGACGTCGCGCTGCTGTGGAGCTCGGTGGAGATTTAAACGCCCCGTCGTATTCCGCGTCCATGCCTGAAGGCGGACAGATTGCAGCGGCCAGAAGTGGTGTTCCCCCACGTGGAGATGGTGGTGGGATACCCCTGGCCAGAAGTCCTGATTGGCCTTTTGACGAGACCCTGGTCCTTTTGCGGTTGCTATTCGAGGAGGATTTAGCGCAGCAGAATCGTAGAGGAAGAGAGAAAATCCGTGGGAAGAAGGACAAGTACAGTTGGTGCATAACAAATCTCGTAGAGAAGAG